GAGGGGGTGGGGGGGGTGGAGGCCCAGGCAGGGGCCTGTGCAGCTAGGCAGGCAGAGGCCAGCAGACTGGGTGGTGACAGGGCTGGGGCACTCTGGTCCACGTAGCCGTGGTGCCCCACTTTTCCAGCTGAAGCTGAGCTTACCCCACGATCGCTTGGTGGAAGCTGAGCGTACCCCACGATCACTTCGTGATCATCTGTTCACAGTAGCTACTACTGACTGCAATGTACCAGGTTCAGTCTTCACAAAACAGATGTGATTGCTCCCATGAATTATGAACCCCATACATGGAGGCTCAGACAGATCATGTGGCTCATTCCCTGCTCAGCCAGAGCTGGAATTCAAATCTAAAGTGCTTTGTGCTCAGCGTTTCTGCCCGTTCTATGTTTGCAAAAGGTACTTTTATTTACACCGTCTCTTAGTGTCCGTAGTGGTCCACCCCTTCCTGACCCTGGCCTGAGGAATGTTCTGGGCCTGGGCTCCTGTGTGGGGCTGGGGCACTAGGAATAATAATCTCCCCCTGGAAAATTGGGGAGGTGCAGCCAAGGTCTATGCCTTTAAGCCGGCAGCCCAGGTGGTTGACTGAGCTAGGATGGTGACCCCGGCCCCGGCCAGGGGACAGCTGGTGTTGCTCCCGGAGGAGGGAGGCACTGTAACCCTTGGCAACAGGAAGGGAGGGGAGGGCTTCATCCTCCAACCCTGAGTCATGGCCACCCCGGGCAGCCTGGGTGCAGAGGACGAGGTGCCAGGCTACAGGCACAGTGACCTGAGGTTCGCCGCATTCCCCTCCCCCAGAGCTGTGAGAGCCGCTTCCCCCAGCTGCACAGTGATTCCAGAGAGGCTGGCCCAAGCCTTGACCACGTGTGGGGGATCTTGCTTCTGCCCCCACCAGCCTGCATTTGCCTTTCTGTGGAGTGGGGCTTCCGTGGAAGGGATGGAGCTCTGGAGGTGCAAGTGGAGGGGCCTTGTGGGCACCACTGGAGCCCAGAGACAGGCTGAGAGGCTTCTAACTGGCCCCCCCAAGGTCTGGTTTTTGTGACGAGGTGAGGGAAACAGTGGACTTCCTGCAGGCAGCAGGAAGGATTAGAGCTGCATGCCCAGAGGTGCACTTTGCTCTCCTGAGGCTAGAGTCTCAGGAATGCATCTCTGAAATCTTACCTGGGGCCTCCAGGAAAGTCGGGCCGGG